GCCCAGCCACTGTACCACAGCAGTAACACAGTGCTCTGCAAAACTGGAAGCCACGTGATTGACTCCAGGTTTGATCCCAGGTCAGCTGGAAAACACATCAGGTGTGTGCACAGGTGCCCAGGATCCTGAGGAGAGTTGGGAAAGGGATCACCGCATTTGAGGCCCTGTCAAAGTTATTCTCTTTATTTCTCAGGTATACACTCTCTGTCATAGAAATAGTCAATTTTTTTTTTCTGAATGAAAAGGAGAGAAGTGAGGCCTAGTAGTTAAACTGCAGAACTGAGAGTCCGATTATTTTGGATTGGAGTCTTTCTTCTCCAAGGATTGCATCCTTCCTCAGTTTCCTCACTGTAAAATGGGGGTAATAATAGTACCTATCTCATGGGATGTTATGGGTGAGTACAGAAAGTGCTTAAGAGAGTACCTAACACACAATAATGACTATTTAAGTGCTAGCAATTCATTTTATTTCTCATAATTATTATTCCTGTTTACATAACCATCTAGAGCTAAACTAGTTTGCTTTTATTACTAGTAGTAAGCATGTTTAAATAGTTTCAATGTTATTACCACTAGTATTATATTAAACTAATCTGGCATTTTATTAAGCAGAATTCCTTCTGGACTATCATTTATGCATACAGAGCAGAAATGTTTATGACAATAAATCTGGGGCACTGACAGATATTGAATTAGCATCTGAATCATCAGAGTTATGGTAGCTTTGGGATTGAGTAGATTTATTATAAAGACACTATAAACTTCTTTTCCTTGAAATTTGATAATCCATGAGTTTGCAATATGCAAACATCCTTCAAGAGGTTTACATTCTTGCATGCTAGGGATAAGAAGTGGGAGGGCTACTCAAAATCTAAGGAAATAAGGCCAGTTTGGCAATCGATGATAAACCATGTAGCTGAACTGAGAGTACAGAGGTGCTGGTTCACTGGGCCAACTCTGGATAATTTCGGCAACTATACAGAGGCCTCGGTATTGTCTAACACCTTGAGGCGCTGGCTCATCTGACTTTCTCTGGATCCTTTCAAGTTTGAATATAACCCCAAATCCCTCCAGCTCGTGTGTTATGCCTCATAAACCAGAGGGTGCTCCCTAGCAGTTCTTGCTTTCTTTCTCCCATATTATTACCACTGTGACACAGAACTCTGTACGCTTCACCTGCAGACCTTGGAAAGGGGATAGGCTGAAATAAATAGATAGGGCTGTTAGGGGGAACACATCAGTGCTCCCAGTCCCATCCTGCATTCATGCTGGGGCCATTGGGAGACTTCCGTGGGAATAGGCAAAAGCAAGAATATGACAGCCTAGCAGTAGGGGTTAAACAAACAAGCAATAAAGTTTAGGCGTATGAAGAAAGGGAGAATAAAGGAGGAATTAGATGCATGAAGACAAAGAAAGTAGGTGGTTGGCAGAAGTAATAGAAAAACTCGAACCTTCTAGAGCCAAAATTTCTAAATAGCGTTGTTTGATATTTGCATATATAATATTATTTACCTTGTATTAAGCAATGTAGTGTTAGTTTACATACAATTTTATACTTAATCCTCACAACAGTGTAAGGACTCTATTCTCTCCATGTTACCAAGCTGTGAAGTCTCAAGAGAGGTTGTCTAAGTTCCCAGAGAAACATCTAGGGTTTAGGAATAGAACAAAGGTCTGTCTGAACCCAAATCCTGTGGCATGTTGCATTAAATGTGCAGACAGATAACTGGGAGAAACAATCCAAAATGCCGACTCTTCATAGAACGATAGAATCATAAGGAATGGGCCACATAGTGCAGCAAGAATGATAGCCTTTTTGGGGATGGAATTTTAAAAGGATTAAAATTGGGAATGCTTCAGTTTTACTGCAGTATTAAAGTTTCATTGCAACATTAGTCACGCATCATGTTAAAAATACAGGAGTAAGAGTTACATGAAGTGATTGAAAGACTTTAAATAGTGGTCAAATAAGGACAAGTTAAGAGAGGTGTGGAGGAGAATCTGGGATATGAGTGTGTGTGTGAGAGAGAGAGACAGAAAGAGAGGTATTCATGTGGTCGAAACAGGTGGAGGAGGGAGAAGGTTGTGTGGTAACACTCATTCTTAGCTAAGACCGTTTCCATGGCTAGAAGATGAGCAGATATTTGTAGCAGGGAGAACAACTCTCCACCCACTCCCATACCCAACCCAGGGTGGATCTGAATAGGACTTTTTGTCCATCTCTGGTCTATTTTCCACTAAGCAGTTAGAGTAATCTTTCTTAAACATAAATTCAGTTACATAACTTCCCTGCTTAAAATCCTTTGATGGATTCCATTGCACTCAGAACCAAGTCTGAACTCCTACTGTAACTTAACAGGACCTACATAACCTGTCCCTGCACACCTTGTTCTGCACCTCAACATTCTGATTTTTCAGTTCACACAAGCCAAGACCTTTCCTTATTACAGGGCCTTGGGGTACACTGTTCCCTTTGCAAAGAGCACTCTTGCCTACACCCATCAAATACTGAACATGATCTCATCAGAAGGGCCCTCCCTGCTCAGTGTATCTTCAGTGGGTTTCCCTTGCTGTCCATTACTTCATAATTTCATTCTCTTCATAGTGCCAATTGCAATTATACATATTGTTTGTTCATTTGTTTCTGTAGCTTCTTCACTAGATTATAAGCTTCATGAGGACAAGAACATCTAGTACCAATGGATATGTTCCTTAATTTAATAAATGCCTATGGATAATACTCTCTCCTTCCAGCGTTCAGGCTGGCAAACATCCTACCCCACAACAGATTCAATCCAAGATAAAGAAAAACTATACTTGCAATTGTTTGATGAGGTTTCTGGATATTCAGGACTGACCCCAGGGGTTAGTGGGCTCTGTTATATTAAAAGAAATATTAATAGGAATTGGCTCTTACAAAGTGGTAGTTACTAGGACATGGTTTTGAGTGGAAGGGTTGATGAGGTGCTACTAGTGTGTTCTGTTTGGCATCAGAAGTGGGATAAAATGAGGGAAGTAAGCTTTGAAAATCGAGGGGCTGTCTGTGAACATTGAACATTATGGTTTGTTCTCAGATTTATGAATGTGTGCATATCTGTATGTGTAAAGGAGAGTGCATGCCTGTAAGTTTGGGTATGTATGTATGTGCTTCCATGTAAACATACACTTGAAGAGTACCCACTGGATGACCAGAAGAGAGAGAAGGATAGTTGTCATTTCACTGAGGGGGAGTAAGTCCTGAGAGGCCCAGGGCTTCCCTTGGACTCATCTGCTACAGCCTTCTCTTCAATACCTCACCCACGCTCATCTCTTCCACATACAACTTGGAAGGTTGTCTGAAGGCTTAGGTCCTGTGTGTTGGCCTGATGGGGACAGATCCTATGGGAATTTCTAATGGAGAGTAGGACCTGGCATTGATTAGAAGTGGAAGCTTCTCTTACAGAGTGGTGGCGACTGCCAGGCAGGGTGGAAGTCTGGAAACTGGTGTTTCACCGGAGAATGTGCTGTTCTTTGGTCTGTGGGACTTGCCTGACATAGTATATACTGGGAGATATTTTCTCTTATTTAAAAATCTCATTAGTTACACCTGGTTCTCTAGCCTAGTCTGGAATGTGCACATGATCTTGTGAAAGTGGAGTTGTGAGGAATTAAGAGCTATAGCAGAGAAGTCATCATGTTCCTGACATTGCTCTTGTACTGAGTGAATCCTTTACAATAGAAGCTGCTTTTCACTGAAGGGGAGAGTGGCCTGGAGTTCAGTCTCCAGTGGGAGAGTAGGTCCCAGTGTAAGGGCTCGGAGCTGGAGTGGGGCGATGCTTGACTTGGAGAAACCACAGTTTAGGGGGCAGCAGCTGCGGGCTAAGATCTTTTATCATTGGAACCAGCAGATAGTGTAGTGATTAAGTCGCTGGACTCCCACATAGTTGATCTTGACTCAAGTCCCAGACTCTGCTGGTGTAAAACTAACATTGGGTGCATGTGCATGTGCATGTGCCCAAGATCCCTAGAGAAGAATGGAAGGGAAGGGACTGTGGTGTGGTCATGTGCCCTGGGGGATGATTTCTCATTTTTTTACCTGTCACTGTATTTCTGGTGAGCTTATGCTCCCTATAGCAAAACAAAACAAAACAAAACTCTCTCTCTCAAAAACAAAACAAAACAACAACAAAATCCCTTGTCTTCTGTAAATATATGTGCACCACAGATGTGACCTTTCCTCCCCACAGTGTGTAGAGCCGTCACCAGCATAACCTGGGGTCCTTGTTAAAACGCTCATTCTCCGACTCCACTCCTGGAGGTCTGCGTTGTGGAAACTTGCATATTTTTGAAGCATCTAGGGGATTCTCTCTTTAGGGAAATGTGCGTCTCTGCCTCACAGGGAGGTGACTCTGGCAGAAGTGGAGAGAGGCTGGTGTTTGAAGCACACATGGTTGGCCCTGCTTCAGAGAGGACATATATTATAAGCGTGGCGGCGGTGGAACGGTATCTTCAAAATATTCGTGGAAAATGTGTATTATGAAAAAACAATGATTTTTAAAAAATGTTTGAACCAAATTAATTTATACTTTGATTTTATGTTTCCACAAACTTTTTGAAGTTTTTTCCTATCTATACCTATATATGTAAATATATATCTTTAGATACATATGTATGTGTGTGTGTGTGTATATATATATATATATGTACATATATATGAATATATACTTAAAACTCATAGGAAAGGCCTCTTCTCTAAGAGAGAAGATTGTGAATCACCTCACTGAAGAAAAGCAGAGAAAAATCAGGCTTTCAGTGGTCTCTACTTTTTAATTATAAACTCATCTTTCAACCTTTCTGAACTTCTTCAGAATCACACGAATTCATCTCAAGTTGTACAATCTGTTACCTTGGCAAGCTCGTAATGACAAATCCTATTTTACATTTTCGAACGTTGTTCCTAATTACTTAACTTAAGAGCAAGACCCAACTGCAGCAGAGGAGGGGGTGGGTGTGTGCTTGCAGATTTGATCTGATTTGATTTTTTAAGTAGTTTTACTGTCAGAAGTTTTTTTATCTGTTCCACAGGGAGAGGATACAAAACTACTGCTTAAGACAGATCACGCTCAGAGCGTCTTATGGTGTGGCAAATTCATCCTTTTATTTTGTAAAACCATGTCACCCATGTCGTTTTTTCCCCCTCAATAACCAAAATAGCACAAGATGAATAAAAGAGCAATAGCGACAGATAATATAGAAGCCTCTGTAATCTCGTGTTGCTTTTACACAACTTTTAATTGGTAATATGTGAATACACACATACACACAATACATATATATTTATACACACATACATACACACACACACACACACACACACATATATATATATATATATACATTCAGAAAATGCTAATACTGCTCTAAAATAGCAGAGTTTCTCCAGTCCAGTTTTTATACTACATAATAACACCCAGCCCACTGCTATGCTTTAAACGGCAGCAGAGGCAAAATTTTCACTAATTATACATTTTAGGGCAGCAACTCTGTACTAGTCTTATGATGTGTGGGGACATTTTGATATATAAATAGTTAAATGTAGTCTGATTTCAGTGAGGTTTATGGATTACAAACAGCAGGGGAAGAAGCCTTCTGATCCTCATGACCAGTTCTCCACTCTCTCAGCATTTGAGGATGACAAAGATAGACCCTGTAGAAATGATGGACTCTTTTTCTTGTTCTAGTCTGTGGAGAGTGCTGACTGTGCAATCCACCCGAAGGATGTGCTGAAGCTCCACTCAAGATCACGGAAAGTTTTGAACAAGGAATGATTCAGTTGTCATGGGAATGCAGTGGCATGTTGATACAGTGGGTTCCGTTGGTTGAATAAGTTCAGTGTTTATGCTGTGGGCCATTTATTGACTTAACTTAATTTTTAAAATTAAATTAAAATGCTTATTCTTATGAATTGTTTGTCTTGCTTTGTTTTCGGGGGCAGCTTGATTTCGTTCACATTCCATGTCCACACAAACATATATGCCTCATTTTATAGATGACTCTGCAATCCTGCCTCCGAATTCAGACATACTCAACTGATCACAGTTTGGCAGCCACCAGGGTCACTGGGGCTGTCAGTGGCTACACAACTTGAGGGCCTACAATTTTTAACAGAAGCCGACATCTTGGAACCCAAATGCAGCATGTTACATAAACATATAACAACAAATTACCAGAACTGTATAATATCCATGGAGTATATAATAACATGTATATTAGCAAATTAGTCTCTAAGTTTTGCAGCCTAATATGACTAAATAAACAGCTAACATCTCAGAGCCTTAACATTACTCTGCGCTAAAATAAACAAGACTATGAAACTAAAGAAAAAAATATACACGATTGCTAGGGATTATTACTGAAAAATATACAACTGAGCATTTTCCGTAGCTTCTTTCATGCTAATGGAAATTACAGACAAAAAATAAATAAAAATTTTTCATGTCTCTTCTGTTGCTTCACTTAGTAATAGTAACATCAGTTATCACAAAGAATCCCATAACAGTGGTACATTATGATTAGAATGTAAGTAGGAAAAAAACCAAACAAACCAGGAAACAGAAATACATTACAAACAGCAATATAACCCATAGCTGTCTTGCCTTTAAAAGTTGAACTCTTCCTAAACTTTTCAAAATTACTTACATTCATCAATAAATGTGATTTTCATTTGTTAAGGTGAAATAAAACATCTAGCAGATTTTTACTCTCTCTTAAAAACGTCATACATTAAATTGACTCTCTCTCTTAATTTAGTGTCTCCATTTACTTTAAATATGGAAAATATCTTTTAAATAGTTCAATCTTAATTTTGCTAGCTTCTGCTGGCTCAGCTGGGGTCACAGTTTCAAGGGTCACCATGCAGCGTCCACTGAGAGGCTGCTTCAGAGCAGTCCAGTGTTCAATGTGATGGAAGGAATCCATCTTCCTGATGAAGCCAGCTCTGGATTTGGCAAGCAGTTGGCATAAAATTCTGCACTTCAAGGTTTGCTCGCATTTCTGTCAGCCTCAGCTTCTCCATTCACAAATGCAAAACATCATGAACAGAAAAGAGGTCCAAGATGAAGGGAAAACTGGCCTCACCCAAGAGGGTCCTTTGTTTCCTGAGGCAACTCTCTAAGCGCCACTTGCCAGTGAGGAAAACCCTAAGCTGCTGCCACCTGCTGGGGTTCTTCCATTTCATGATGAAAGGTTGGAAAAAGTCGACCTCTGAGAGGAAATGCTACAGACTTCCAAGTTGGTGAAAGAACTTCCGGCATCGCTGGGATACTCCGGGTAGGAGGAACTGGAGGAGATGATGTTTTTGAGCCGCTGCAGGGCGATGATGAGGAGGAGAAGCAGAAAGGCTAAGAGGCTGAGGAAGATGGACACATAGATGTAGACGTTGGACAGGTGGCCCGAGGATGGGTCCACCGATGTGGACAGGGACGTGGGAAACAGCTCAAGGAAAGTTCCATTCTCCACACTTCCCGCCAATCCAGAGGAAGGGTCCGTTTCAGACATCTTTATGGAGGGCAAGGGAAGATCAAGTGTATTAAAAGTCAAAGTTTCACACAGGACTTAAAAAATGGACAGAATTTGCATTTTTCCCCATAACAGCATCAG